GAGTCGGACTGGGTTTCAGGACGCGCATGGCTTTACTGTTTACCAGCTGCTGATAGAATGAACGAGTCAAGGGTAGAAGCGCGGTTGTGGGGGGAACGTCCTCAGGCTAAGCCGGGGCTGATGGCTGCGTGGGAAGACTGTTGTCCCGAGTTGCTTCCTTAACGGCCCTTGACTGTTGCCCCTCATTGTGCCAACATTTACGTTTTGTTTTGCAAAACACGAGAACGTAACCTCCTGAGAAAAATGACTAGATGACTGTCTACATTAACACAAGTAACACAATCCTTTGAACCCCTTCTCCATTCGCCACGCGGGATGCTCCGGCTGAAGAGCTGGATCAGGCAACCATGCACTTTTGCAGCCAACCCCTAATCCTCGGGCAATTCCACTCGGACAATCCCACTCGCAGTTCGCATCCAAGCTCGCAGGTCAACCAAGTCAGCCAAATTACCGAGTGTGCCATAACAGCACACCGTTGCTCTCATGCGCCTTGCGACGGCGGTACATGCAGCAAGCAGTCCTGGTCCCTATCTTACTGCTGTCAGAAATGCAGTCCTGGTGCAGCCTAGCTACGAGTGACCCGGCGGGTCGGTCACGGGAACCAAAAACCTTTCAACGGACAACCACAGCTGCACCGCTGCACGGCATTCTAAACTTGAAACCGTTTGAGAGGGATGTGAGCATGTGTGACAAGAATGGAGCAGAGGCGTGCGCGCGCCGGCCAAAGCGGTTGCAGCTGCCGTTGTTGTTGTCATCACCTCGGCACTGTACGGTCAGCGAGACCTCGACTTTCGGCATTTTAAGGTCATCATCAGACCTAAGCTAACATAGCAACGCCGCCGTTCCTTCTCTGACTTCCACAAAAGGTAATTACTGCTGGCCATTACTCACATCTGACAGCATGGCAAGGGGAAAGGCGAAAGCAAAGGGCGCCGCGCCGGCTTCAGCAGCAGCAGCAGCAGCGCCCACAACCGCCGTCGCTCAGCCGGCTGCTGCCGAGCCGCCTCCCGCCATCGTTTCCCACCTGCCTTCGGAGATCGAGGCTGAATGGCGGGACTACCGCCACCTGCCCGACCGCTACAAGGCTAGCGTTGAAGCTCTGAGGGTGAGCTGCTGAGGATTGGGGGATTGGCGCGCTGTCCGTCGGGCTGGAGCGCAAGAAGCGCATCGCGCGCTCGCGTCGCGTTTTGTGCTGCCAATAGAGCTTGCTTGATTGGTGAAGAAAGAAGAGCTGTAGCTGATTGGCACTTAGTTTGCACATTACGGCGAGCGGAAGCGATGCAACAAAGTCAGTCACGTTGCTGGCAGCTCGGCTCATGATGGAAGCAGGAAGCGCCGCTGCCGTTGCTTGCCGCATACGCGTGCCATAGCATTTTTTCTGCCTCTTTGCCCCATGCTGCTTCTTCTCCAGTGCAACTCACGCCATCATCTCAACGCCCGCGCGCTGGTCAACCACCTCCGTTTCCTCACTTTTTCCCAAACCCAACCTCACCTCCTCTCTCATCAACCCCTAGCCATTGTTTGCCCTCATTCGTGGTTTCCTATGGCTCAGCCTATTTCTTCTCCCGCTCCCCCACTCCCCCGCCCCCCAAGGCCCTGTCCAAGGCGCGCCTCATGTCGGAGCACGTGCGACGGTCGGAGCAGCTTGACGTGGAGGTGCTGTGGGACGTGCCGCTGCTGCGGGTGCAGGGGCGCGAGGCCGCGCGGTCAGCCTTGTACACGCTTAAGTGGGTGATGGCGGAGGTGGAGCTGCGGCCCGTGCTGTGCAAGGTGGGTGGGGGGGGGGGGCGGGGGCGGGAGGGGGGCCGGATGGGGCGAATGGCGGAAGCACGGACATGCTGAGACTGAGTCGAAGTCATGTGTGCAAGGTGGGGTGGCTGGGGCCGGACGAGGGCCGGACGAGGGGCGGATGAGGGGGAGACCACGACTGGGGGGCTGCGGGTGCGGGATGCCCGCTTGGCCCGCCTGCCCTCTCTTGGCATTGCGCTGCGACGCGGCGACTGCAGTTGCCCTCTTGCGAACCCCCGCGCCCCACCTCCCGTCTGCTAACATGATAACACCACACTGCTTGTCCGCAGCACCCGCCTGCTGGCCCGCTCCCCACCTCCCTCCCTCCCGTCATGAGTCAGGACTTCCTTGGGGCCTCATGTGGGGGGGGGCGGTGCTTCACTTCTTTTCCCCCTCTCTCCCGCCCCCCCCCCATTCCCCCTGCTAGCTGCGCGAGGTCGACCCCAAGCGCTCCCGTCTGGAGGTGCTGTTCGACGTGCACCTGGCCCCGCACCGGCCCTGGTGGCTGCCCGCCTCCTGGCTGCTGCCGCGCAGGATTGAGCTGAGGGTGGGTGGGGGGGGGGAAGGGGGGGGAGGGGACAAGAGAGGGGTTGTAGGGGTGTGTATGGGCGCTGACAGCGCTCCATTGTCACACGACGGCTCTGTCCTCTGACGCGGTAATGGTCGTGATGGTGCTGGTGTCACAACGCGCAAAGCGGAGAACGCTCGCTGCCGCCATTCTTCTCTGCCCTTCCCTCCACCCCCCACCCCCACCCCCCATGCACCCCCCCAGGCGGTGCAGCAGCTGCGCATCTCCAAGGGCGCCCCGGAGGACGGCAGTGCGGACGTGATCACACAGCTGGAGGGGCGGCTGCTCAACCTGGGGAGGCTGCCGCTGCCGGTGGGAGGGGAGGGGCAGGGGCAGCGGGGGGGCGAGGGGGTGCACTGAGGGGGAAAGCTGACTACATGACACCAGTACTGCAGTACCCCTCACGGCTGCATCTGAACTACCTCCCCCCCCTGCTCCCCCCCTGTTCCCCCTTTTGCACTTATCATCCCCCCCTCCCCCCTTGCTCCCCCCCCCAAACAGCTCCGGCTGCTGTCTGGCGCGCTGCTGGGCTACCTTCCCGCCGCCACGGAGGCGCTGTGGTCGCCGCTGGTGGGGCTGCTGGGCGACCCAAGCTACCGAGACAGGGCGGAGGAGGCCAGGGCGGCGGCTGCAGGCGAGGGAGAGCAGCCCTCCCTCATTGACAAGGCCAAGGCCGCAGCGACGGGGGCCGCCGAGCGGGCCAAGGACGCGGTTACCTCGAGCACCTACGAGGCAGCTGAACGGACGCGACAGGGCGCCGGAGCGACTGCGGGTCTGACGGCGGTGGCGGCGGAGAGAGCGGCGCGCGGCGCGGATGCGGCCACTGCGGGTGTGGCGGGTAACGGGGGCGTGATGGGGAAGGCTGCGGGGGCGGCGCGGGAGGCGGTGCATGGCGCGGTGGGCGGTGTGAAGGAGGGGGCGTTTGCGGCGGCGGAGGCGGTGGGCGGTGCGGCGGAGCGTGTGAAGAAGGCGGCGACGGGACACATCTGATGGTGATGGGGGCTGTTGGAGCCATGATGGGATTTGGAGCCATGAGGAACGGCTGTTGTGGCTTGTGGGGGTTATGGGTCCTGTGGGTCTTGTGTTGCTATACTTGTTTGGGGGAGCTGAGTGGGAAGGGTTCTTGTTGTTATTGCTGGTAAGAGTCGTAGGGAGTGGCTTGTTGTCGTGTTGTCGCATTTGCGGGTGCGAAAGGGAGGATAGCGCTGCTGCCTGGACACCGCTGCCCCCCAGTGCTGCAATGCGGCTGACGTGTGGCGTGGAGGTTGTTCTTGTGGAGGATTGCGGAGGAGGAGGAGCATCCGCGTGCGGCTGACAGTGCGCTTGCGCGCAGCCTCCCAGGCCGTGGACGAGACAGGAGGTTCAACGTGTGCAGCTAACTAACTCGGGTGCAGCTGGTTGTCTACTTGGAGGAGTTGTGCAGGTTGCTGCACCGTTGCTTATCGTAGCTCACACATGGCGTGGCATGCATCATGCTGCGCTTGATCAAAACAATAAGCCGTTTGCCTTAGTTGCTTGACGGTGTTACTGTCTATTGGCGCGTCTGTTCGTAGGAGGAAGTTGCTGTGCGGTGGCGCGGGGGTTGCAAAGGCTGTGTTCAAAGAGACGCGTGCCCGTAAGGCCCCTCTGCGGGTCCCACTGTGTCACCGGTCACCCAAAACGTCGCTGGAAAGGCTGTGCCTGACCTCGGAACGACCTCTCGTTGCATTCCGCTGTGCACCACTTCGCACGGCGCAGTTGTATGTGCCGTTGTAAGGCAAGGGCGCGGTTCTTACTGCCACCGCCAGCAAACCCCACCAACATCATGTGGTATAGCACACGCTTAACATGCAGCGTCCGCAACCCACCGCCTGCCAGGCATAACACCCCGCACAGCTGCCTTTAGATGACAAACCCACAGCCATGCACCGCAGCTTGGAACCGGTGGAGGAGTCCGCAATCCGACCAGTAAGACAACTCGCGGAGGCAACCAGCACAATGTCGCATCACCAACCTGCTGTTTCACTACCTTCTCTACTGCCCAGCCCCACTCATGCCAGCCCCCAACCCCCTCTACAGCAACCCCTCCTCCTCACCACCACAGCTCAACGCAATAGGTCCCCAAACGGGTCCGCACTCCCTCCCGCAGGCTGCGCCTTCATGCCTGCTGTCCCCACCTGCTGCTGCATGCCTGCATGCTGTCGCATGCCGCCCGCCGCCATACCCTGCTGCTGCTGCGGTGGCGGCTGCATCTGCCAGGACTGCCGCTGCTGAGTCGCACCAAGGCCCGCGGCTCCCGCTGCACCCCCCATCAGCCCTGCTGGCTGCATGCCCGTACCCATCACGCCACCACCACCTGCCATACCCACCGACGACCCCCCCATGCCTCCCATGCCTCCACCCATACCCAGACCAGCAAACTGCTGCTGCTGTTGCGGCATGCCGTACCCGCCGCCGCCCATCATCTGCCCCATGCCGCCGCCTCCCCCGTTCGGCAACAACCCGCCCATTAACAATCCCGGGGGCCCCCCGGGCGACGGCGCCAGTCCCCCGCCGCCCAGCGGACCCGGCCCCCCCGCTGCCCCGCCCAGCAGGGAGTCCATCCAGTCCCCACCGCCGGGGGCACCAGACACAGCCCCCGACCCCGCCCCCGCCCCCTGAGGCGCCCGACCGCTCCCCGACGCCGGCCCCACTGCCGCCGTGAGCTGCTGCTGCTGCTGTGGCACGTCCAGATCCATCAGGAGGTCCATGGCGCTGGGGGCAGCTGCCGTCCCCCGCTGCTGCTGCTGCTGCGAGGCGTTTGCGGAGCCGTTGGACGGCTGTGATTGCTGCTGCGGACGGTGCGCAGGTGACGGCCTCGTGGCCGCTGCCGCCGCGGTGCCTCCCGCAGTGCCAAACAGCGACGCCGCCAACCGCTCTCGCTCCGCATTCTGCGCAGTCACAACCGCAGAGCCCGAACCGCTTCGGGAGTGCCGACCCCCACCGCTCTGGGTGGTCGTCCCAGCAGCGGAGGAAGACGCCGGGCCTGCCCCCGCCGCTGCCGTACCGTGCGCTGCTGCTGCCGAGGAGCCGGCGGAGTGCCCCGCGGTGTGTTGGCTGGGCGGCTCGGACTCGTACTGCGCCGGGCCCCACTTGCGCGGCCCCCCCGACTTGAGCACCAGCTGGGGCTGCAGCTGGTTGCCGGCGGCGGGGGTTGCGGCCGCCGCTGTGTGACTGGAGGCGGCCGCTGCGAGGGTGGAGGTGGACGCAGAGGTGGACCCCAGGTGCAGGCGCGCGTCGTTGACGCCGGCCGAGTAGGAGGTGGAGGAGGAGGCCAGGGGAACGGCGTACGGCGCGGGCTCGTACGCCTCGAATCGTAGGCCTGCGCCGTGCGGGGGAAGGGAGCAGGGAGCACGGTTGTCGGGGTGGGGCTGCTGCCGGACATGCGAAGGCGAACACTAGGCACTGTAAACCCACGTACTCCGGTATCCACAAGTATGCGGGGTAGTCTACGTCAAACGTACCTTTGGCCTGCGCCTCCCCCGTCTTGGCCCCCCTTGCCTCCGGCGGCAGGTAGGGCGCCGCACCCGCCGCCAGCGCCCGCGTCACGAGGGGGTCCAGGAAGGGCAGCGTCGCCACCTCCGCCAGCTCGGCGGCGCTGAACTCCTCGCAGGCGGCGTCAACCGGCAGCGCGGAGGACAGCAGCGGGGGAGGCAGGCTGGCAGGGGAGGAGGAGACAGGAGGGAGGAGAGAGGGATGGAGGGGGACACAGGGACATGCATCGGTATGCAAGTACGGTAATCAGCACGACACACAGGCAGATGCAGATGCGGTACCTTCCTGAACAAGCAATGCCTCCCTCGTGCTTTCATCGCCCCCCTGCGCTACTGCGCTGCATCCCCCCTCCGATCAACATCACCCCCCTTCCCGCCCACCTGAGCAGTGTCGTCAGCTCATGCGCCCGCTGCTGCAGCTCCAGGTTCTGGCTGTTCAGGCACTGGTGCACCAGCTCCGCCGCCTCCCGACCCATGGGTCCGCCCCCGCCTCCCCCCGCGGAGCCGTGCGGCTGCAGCAGCGCCGCCCCCACCGGCCCCGCCGCCCCCCCTGTGTGCGCCGCCAGCTTGGTGAGCGCGGTGAGCAGGCAGCCGCGCACCCGCTCCGTGGCGGCCTTGTGGGAGGAGAGGATGGAGAGCAGGCGGGAGAGCACCGCTGCGGGCGGGCGGCGAGCCAGGTGGCCGTACTCGCCCAGCACCCAGCAGATCACCTGCGGGAGGGGGAGGGCGGGGAAAAATTATATAAGTGAAACAACGAATCCCAATCCCATATCCCGACTCATGAGGAGGGCGGGGGGGGTAGTGCGGCGGGGGGGGGGGGGTGTTGAATGGACGTGTAGTGCGGCGACATGGGTCTAGTACTATGTACCTAGTTCGGAACGGAATGCCATGGACATCAGTGTAGCCCCAGTGTACCATCACTCCGCATCCCCCCTCCTCCTCCTACCAGCAGAATCGTCTCGGGCAGCTTCTTCTTCGGCGCCGCAGAAGGCGCCCCCGCCCCCTCCCCCCCCTGCGCCTCCAGCAGCCCCAGGTACGCCTCCACGGCGGACCCGTGCAGCCCCGCGTCCTGCTCCGCGATCAGCCGCACCAGCCGGTGCGCGGCCCCCTCGTCCACGTGCTCGCCGCCCAGTCGGAAGACCTCGCTGAGGGTGGACACGAACCAGGCGGGGGAGGGCGCGTAGCGCTCAGCCAGGTCGCTGACCTGCCGGGGGGAGGTGGAGGGAGAAAGGGAGGGAGGGAGGGAGAGGAGGGAGGGAGGGAGGGAGAGGAGAGGAGGGAGAGCCATGAGCGAATGGCAGGGTGAGGGAGAGGGAGGGAGAGGGGGGGAAGGAGAGGGGTTGTGGTTGTGACGCGAGATAAAGGGTGTATGGTGAAAGGAGGATGGTGTTTCCTAGCTCAGTGGCTGCAGCAATGGCGTCCTCCCCATGTGCCCCCCCCCCGCCCAGCCCCCCGCGGCGACCCCACCTTGCGCACGATGTCCCGCCGGATGTGCTCGTCGCTGCAGGTGGCCAGGTAGCCCATCATCTTGTCAGTGATGACCTGGATGTTGGAGGCGCGCGTCATCTTGTACAGCAGCTCCAGCGTCTTGAGCTTCAGCGTGTCGTCCGGGTCCTGACAAGGGGGGGGAGGGAGGGGGGGGGAGAAAGGACACCGACAAACAAGCGTTACGACACTACAGCATACAGCAGCAGCAACGACAGCGGCAGCAAGTTGAGGGAGACTCGTCCATTCAGCATCGCCTCCCAACATGCCCCTTTCCCCCACTCCCCTCCCCCCCCCACCTCCAGGCAGTCCAGCACCCCTCCCCTCCCCCCCCACCTCCAGGCAGTCCAGCACCCCTCCCCTCCCCCCGCACCTCCAGGCAGTCCAGCACCCCCTCCCCTCCCCCCCCCCACCTCCAGGCAGTCCAGCACCCCCTCCCCTCCCCCCCCACCTCCAGGCAGTCCAGCACCCCCTCCCCTCCCCCCCACCTCCAGGCAGTCCAGCACCCCCTCCCCTCCCCCCCCACCTCCAGGCAGTCCAGCACCCCCTCCCCTCCCCCCCCACCTCCAGGCAGTCCAGCACCCCCTCCCCTCCCCCCCCACCTCCAGGCAGTCCAGCACCGCCACCTGGTGCTCCGCCGCCGCCGCGGGGTTGAGTGCGGTGATGCCCGCCAGCGCGGTGATGCCGGTGTAGCGCAGGTTGTGCGAGGGGGACAGCAGGAAGGGGGAGATGCTCTCCGCGGCTGGGGGGGGGGAGGGGGGGGGGGCAAGATAGACCGAACCAAGGAGGAAGGGAGGGGGGGGGTGAGCGGGTAGGTTGGTGGGAGCAGGTGGGGGAGGGCGCCAAGCAGCCACGAAGGGCGAGGCAGGGGCAGGCAGGGCTGCAGCACTGGAGACGGAACTAAAGGACTGGTGAGAGGAAAAGCAGGCAGGGTTGCTAGTTCCGACGTACTAGTTCCGACGGAACTACCTACCTACCTCCCCTGCCCTCCCCCCCCCCGCCCCTCGCCCCACCTGCCGCCAGCAGCTGCGGGTTGGGGTAGATGGTGGTGATGGTCCGCACGCACTCGTAGATGATGGCGGAGCCGATGGTGTGGCTGCTGTTGGCCCTGCGCAGCGCCTGCAGCAGCACCGCCGCCATGTTCTCCGAGGCCGCCCGGTCGCCCGAACCCAGCAGCGCCAGGATCTTGAGCAGCTTGATCTGCACAGGCGGGTGGGGGAGGGGGGATTCGATGGACTGAGCCGCGGAAACACCGAGGAGGGAGGGGGCAGGCGGGGAGCGCAGGCGGTCACATGGGTAGCTGCGTGGTGGCTTATTGCGGTAGCGCCTGGGAGTGCGGATGTGATGGGGTCCATACCAACCGGGGTGTGCGGGTCAAGGGTCAGGGCCTGGCCTGTGGGCTGCTCCCTCCCAGCCCCCCAGCCCCCCCGCCCGCCGCACCTGTATGAAGGGCGCGGGGAAGCGGTGGTAGTCGTAGCTCTTGGGCAGGCGGTGTTCCGCCACCTGCTTGAGGATGCTGGTGAAGGAGGGGATGAGGTTCTTGTACGGCCGCGGGTCGGACCGGATGCACTCGTGCAGCGCGCACAGCGCAGCGCTCATCACGGAGGGGTCCTGCGGGGGGGTGGCGGGAGGGGATGAGACATGACAGTCAGTGAATCAGTACAACGCCTCACACACACTGCGACACAGAGGGTACGAGCGCTCAGATGGGCCCACGAAGGGTACGCGCGCTCAGCTACATACCACATATCATGTTGCAACTATGGGATGTATCATGGTTATAACGTCCCAGTGGTGCCCTCATGGCGACCCCACCGCCTCCTTCCCCACCAGCACAGCTCCTTCTCAGGTGCGACATCAAACCTCCATCCCCTCCCACGCATCCCCTCTTCTCCCCACATCACCCTTATCCCGTATCACCCCCCAACCACCATCACTCACACCCATCCCTGGGAGACCGCTCCCTCCCCGCCACAGGGGAGCCTTGCCATACGGCTAGTCAGTTCCCTCTTCCATACCCCCCACCCCCACCTCGTCAGTTCCTTCCTCCTTACACCCCACCCCCACCCCCACCCGCCGCACCTTATCACACAGCATTGTCCTGAAGTGCTTGTCCAGCTCCACCCCCGCCAGCGGTCCCTCCCTCCGCGGGTCCAGCTGCCCGAACCAGTGCAGCGCCAGCACCGCCTTCTTGCGCACGTGCTCCTTGGGGTGGCGCAGCCGTCCCACCACCACCGGGTACACCGCGTTCACCAGATCGGCGCCGATCAGCTTGGTGGCGGCCACCAGCGCGGTGCAGACTGGGGAGCGGGAGGAGAGAGGGAAGAGGAGAGGGGAGAGTGGGGGGCCGTGAAGGCGGGTGGGGACGGGGAGGCTTAAGGGTGCGTGGAGGCGGGTAGGTGGGGGAGGGAAAGCTGTAGAGCGGTAAGAGGGGCTGTGAGTGGGGGCCGTGAGAGGGTCCCAGGCGGAAAGTGATGGCTACTGGGCGGTGGGCTCTTACCGATGAGGTAGTTGTCGGACTTGAGGTCGGAGAGCAGCGTGTTGACCAGCAGCAGCACCAGCTGGTTGTTGTGGTCCAGGAACTGGGTCAGCGCCAGGTAGGCAGCCTGGGGGGGGGCAGCAGGAGCGGAGCAGGGGAGGAGCAGCAGGGGAGGAGAGGAGAAGGGTAACAGATTAACGAGATTTTGGCATGCGGGAGAGGGATGGGCTCAAGGGCTGCGAGATGCTGGTTAGGCCGGCGAGGGCACGGCAGCAGCAGAGGGTTAGGTTGAACCGGAAGTAGGCAAGGGGTATGGGGTTAGGGCAGATAGCAGTACGCGTCAATTCGCATGTGTAGGATGAGGGGTGTCAGGAGGTCTACGTTGCCGTGCCTAACCCGAGGTACCTTCTTGGTGTGGATGTTGGGGTCACTTGCGAATTGCAGCGCCTTAACGTAGGCAAAACTTGCATCGTGACCCAACATCTCGCAATAAATGAGACGGATCATGTACTCCTTGCCCCTGCTCCTGTCCAGCTTTGGATCGCTCAAGCGCTGCTTGAGCAGCTCCAGCTCCTGGGTTATAATACGATCCTCCTCCGCCTTGGACTTGCATTCTCCGATCGCCTGTATGCGACAGCCGAGCGCATCGTAGCGTGCGCACAAAGCCGGGTTGGCAGCATGCACTTCTTACCTTGACCAGATTGTCGAATTCCCGCAGCTCCTTCAGAAAGCGAGGGCCGGTCTTAAGCCCAGCAACAACCTTTTCAAGTTTGCTCTGCATGGCTGCTTTGCTGAACTACCTAACCCTATGTTAGTCGACCTAACCGAGAGCTGAGCTTTCACTTGTACTCCTTTAAAGCCCCGACCGTTGGATTACATTGCCATGAAGTTTCTTGCATTTAGGACATTTTTGACATAGCAAAGCCGAGTGATCGGAAACGGCTAGCAATAACAGTGTGGCATTAGTCTATCAAGCAAGGACTGCCTCAGCTTTCCATAGGACGCGCACGAAGCACGAAGTGATTGTAACAGGTATCATGTTATCACTAACTTGAACGCTGCTGATGGGAGCCACGGAGACTTGTCTGTTGTCGTACTCTGCAAGTAGCGCTGATTGAAGCACGCCCTCACAGAAGTTTACAGCAAAACTTGCATGGCATAGAAAGGTATACCTGAAGTCATTGAAGCTTGTTGGTTAGAGCTTTTTCTCCTTCTTAATAGTCGCCTTCCAGCGTATTTCCACTATTGAGCCTGGTTACTGTGCTATATAGGTGCTTCCAATCGCATTTGTTATTGCGCCATTGCTAGCCACGCAGCATACTTCTCGCACATTTCGAACGGAACCTCTAAGACGGGCGGCACTAGTCATCGGCGCGCGACCGGGTAAGTTGCATTCCAGGTGTGCCGCCTCACGTATTGATGAAATAAACAGCTTGGTACTCACGAAAGGACTGTATGGGGCTCACGTGTGGTAAAGTCCTGCTGTTGAATGGCTGAGAAACAGTGCAATAAACTGCTGCAAGCCCCAAGCCTCAGACTGACATTAAGACACATTTTGTCATGGCCTCATAACGGCCCGAACGAATGGCCGGTTAATATGTACGCTGCATGCGACCTTTTTCCTTGACTTCTTGAGTACTCGTGTTGGGCGCGCCGGGAGGCTTTACATGAAGCCCATATCCCGTATCCCTTTCTTCCTCCCTTTGCGTCAGGCTGCTCTGAACGGAAAAGCGCTTCTGCGTGCCAGATGTTGTGAACGCACGTCCCGCTGCTTGCCGCCCATGCCGCGGCAGCGGCGAGCCGGTGCCTCGGCATCGGCGGGAGGGCACAGGGACCCTTCCTCAGCACGGGTCCGACACTGGCAGCTGCCATGTTGGCTGCTGCTGTTCTGCATGCTCCAATTGTGTACCCTAATACACGGCCATGTTGACGGAGCCAAACCAGGGACGCGTAGCTCAGCCCTGGACAGCGTCAGCTTAGAGGCGGCTTCGGGAACCACCAGCAGCCGGCGACTTGCGCAAACAGACAGTCCGCCTCCGCCGCCGGACCCATCCCCCCCACCCTCACCGGACCCTTCCCCACCTCCATCCCCACCGCCACCCCCTCCTTCGCCCCCACCCTCACCACCCCCATCCCCACCTCCTCCTCCCCCTTCACCCGATCCTTCCCCGCCCCCTTCGCCTCCGCCACCCATGCCGCCGGCTTACTCCTTTGGCGGCACGTACGGCGTCGCACCCTGGTTCACCACCATCAACGGCCGGCGCTGGGCGCTGTTCTCCGACCCCCTCTCCTTCAGCCTCGCGGAGGACTCCTGCCGGCAGCTGGGGGCCCACCTGGCCGACCCCTCTGATGTCACCGAGTACCAGGCGGTGGTCGATGCCTACTCCCCCACCTTCTCCTACCTGTCCACCACCGCGGTGTGGCTGGGTGTGAGCGACGCGGACACGGAGGGCTGGTACTACTTCACGGCAGGGCGGGGGACGACTGCCATGACGGAGGTAGGCAGGGGCGGGGCGGAGGAGGGTGCAGTAGTTGGTGCCGGGTGGCGTCTCTGGCGGTCTGGTGTTTACCGGCACGGTTTGGGGGCCAGCGGGCGGGGTATTACAACCCGTTCGGGTACGCTTTAGCCTTGCGCGCATGACCTCGAGTCGTCCCTGCATCGCTCCTCTTGTTCCTGCTGCGGTGTAGGTGAGCCTCACGGACTGGGAGGAGGTCTGGGCGGCTGCGCACTGGTCTCAGGACGGCAGCGCGAAGGACTGCGTGGCGGCCCAGCTGAGCACCTACACGGCCTCCGCCACCCCCTTTGCGGGCGCGTGGGTGGACGCGGACTGCTCCCAGAGCCTGCCGTACTGGTGCGTGGGCGGGAGCTCCTTCGCTGCGCCGCCACCGTGGCCCCCGACCGACGGCACGAGCCCGCCACCGCCGCCCTCGCCGCCACCGCCATTCGATGCCTCGTATCCGAATTACCCGGAAGGTACGGCACATGGCTATTGAGGTGCACGCATGTGGCCACGGGGGCACTGTCGTGCATGGAGGTGACCGCCAGTCCTGAGCCCCCGCCGGCTTTCCAACGTTTGCCTCTTACCATAACGGCGTAGATGGCCTAGCAGCGCATATCTAGGGTGGCCCCAGGTCTCTGGCTTCACACGCGCCCTCTCCCCGCGCCCAATACCGGTACCCACCTTCCCTTCCCCGTCTTTCCTCTCCCTCCCTCCCTCAGTTTCGGTGGTGGTCGGCTATCACACGTACACCCTGCTGGGCAGCAGCGGCGCCACGCTGTCATGGGTCGCAGCCCAGCAGCAGTGCGCCGCACTCAGCCCCTCCGGCCACCTGGCCTCCTTTGAGGATGCGAGCACACTGGCCAGCGTCCGTACGGCGCTGCTGCAGCAGCTCAACGACAACGGCTTCACGGCATCTACGCTGCCGTACACGCATTCCTATAAGGCGCTCTGGATTGGCTTGCACGCGCGGAGTTCGTCGTACGGCATAGACTGGAGCTGGTCGGATCACTCCGTACTTACCTTTTCAGGTTTCGGATCTTACACGTACGACCTTTCGACCCTACTTACGTCCGGTTCGGTTTGCGCAGCCATGCATCTGGACCGCGCGGGTGCGTGGTCGTACGAACTTTGTACGGCAACCCTGCAGTACCTCTGCAAGCAGGCGAATGTGGCTGCCGCGCCGCCGCCGCCTCCGCCCTCCCCGCCCGTTACCTCCAACCAGCTGCAGCTCCGATACACGCGCGCCTCCAGCAGCGTCGTCTACACGCTGGTGATGCAACCCCGGAGTTTCGCCTCTGCGCTGCGGTACTGCGCCGCCCTGGACGCCGGCGGCACCCTAGCCGTGCCGGACAGTGCGCAGGTCTACACGGACGTGATGTCAGCGGTGCAGGCCTACCTCTCGAGCAACGGAGCCACCGCGGGCGCATCCGCAATCGCGCCGCCGCCCGACACCCCGCCGCCGCCGTGGCCTCCGTCCATGACGGCTCCGCCCATGTCTGCGCAGGCGGGCGAGTCGGCGTTCTGGATCGGCATTCGCTCGTTGAGTGGGCAGTTTGCGTCCCTGGACGGGATCACGCCGCCGCCGTTTGTCGCGTGGAAGAGCGGAGTGTACACCGGGATGTGGCCCGTGCTGTCCTGCGTTTCCGTGGATCCGACGGACCAGTATTCGTACGTTCCCGCCGGTTGCGCCGTGGAGCTTCCCTTCCTGTGTCAGGCCAGCGCTCCGGATGCCGCGATCTCGCCGCCTCCCTCGCCGACGCCGCCGCCTCCACCGCCGCCTGGCAACGCAGCCACCAGCTTGCGACGCGGCCTGTACCTCTACACGTACTACAGCGCCCCATTGCCGTACTCTCAGGCTGCAGCGTACTGCCGGAATAACGGCGGTTACCTGGCGTCGTTCCACTCGGCAGCGGAGTTTAGCGCTGTGTGGAGCAGTCTGACGACTTCGCTGTCTGGGAGCGCCGCAAGTGTGTGGATCGGCTATGACCAGGTAGGAGGGCGGTGTAGCAGGAAGCGCCAGCTGCGGCAGCTGCGGTATAGTGCGGTAACTGTTCCCACGCAACTGTCTGTCGTCCCGCAGCCTCATTGTTTTTGAGGCTGTAATGTATTGGGATGAAGCTGCCCTGCAACCTGCCTAGTCAGTGAGGAATAATGCTCTCCATCCGCTCCTTGCCTAGAGCCGGAGAGCCGTGATTTCGGAGCATCAGCTGACGCGTTGCTGACGTGTTCGCCTGTCCCCTGTCCCTCTTGTGCGCTGCCCTCACTGTGCAGTTGAGCAGCGGCGAGGCCTCCTTCACCTGGGCGGACGGCGGCCCCTCCGTGTACAGCAACTGGGGGCTGCCGTACACGGACGCGGAGGGAACCGACTGCGCCGCAGGTGCGTGTGCGCGCACCCTGCCGGTGCCTGGCCTCCCCTAGCTGTCCCTTAACATGCATCTCCTGCTTTCCCGCTTGCTGGCACTGGTTTGCGTCTTGTCGGGGCGATTAGCGCTGATGGCACTAGCTGGCAGCATAGCCTTCCTCTTCGCATTCAGCTGCTTAGCGCCTAGTCCTATCGCATTCATCCAATATCTCCCACCTCCCTTGCGCTGCACTCACCGCTCACCACTCGGCCTCCTGTTTGTCCTTCCCACGCCTTGCCCTACCACCGCGCCGTGCCGCACCCGCAGCCGACGTGTTGTGGAGCGGGCTCTGGTTCGCCAGCGACTGCCTGGAGCCCTACCCCTTCATCTGCAAGTCCCTGCGCGGGGTCAACGTGACTGCGGATGCGCCGCCTCCCGCCACTGCTCCGCCGCCCTCGCCACCGTCCACCTCAAGTGAGTCCTCCTCTTCACAACACATTGGATATATTTCTTCTCCCCGGTCCCCTGTCGGTCAGATAGGCAGCTCCCAGCTACCCATGGGTTGTGGGGTGCTATGTGTGGGAGAGCGCCACACTTGATTGCATGGCCGCTGTTGGCCCCTTGCTTGGGTCTCTGCTTGCGTCCTCGGCTCTTCTGCTTTTCCCTCCTCATTTACGCAGCCATTGTTTACCGCTTGTCCCTCCCTCCTCTCCTCTCCTCGTGTGTCCATGTAACCACGTTTCCCCCCTCCCTGCAGTTTCCTCGGCTCTCAACGTCACGTTGGACAGCTCCACCTTTTGGCTGTACGTGCCTGGCGCTTCTTCCTTCGAGGAGGCGGACGAGCTGTGCACGCAGTACCTGGGCAACCTGGCGTGGTTCGAGGACGCGGCGACGTTCAACGGGGTCATGGCGCTGCTGAAAGACACGGTGGCGCTGGTGAGGAGGAAGGGGCTGGGGCAGCTAGTCGGCCATGCGTCGCTTGTTGCGGTGGATAGCTGGATACTAGTTGTGTGTGAGATGTGTTTCAGCTCACTGCGAAATAGGTTCGGGCGGTGGTGATGGCTGCTCTTAACGTCTGTCTGCCTCTTTCCCAATTCCCCCTGTGCAGCTCTACGATCCATCCATTTGGATTGGCCTCCGGCGGGAGTACGTGTCAACCGACAACTGGTTCTGGTACGCCAACGGTACCTCCAACTCCTTCAACGCCTTCAACCCAACCACCTCTGCCTGCACCGCAACCGCCGTGGCAGCCAAGCTGAGCTACGCGCCCGACAACTTTGGTGGCGACCAAACCTGCGTCGCGGCGGAGATTGTCGCCGACGGCAGCAACTACTGCTACCGCTGGGACGACCGCGCATGCAGCGACCGCTTGGGATTCCTCTGCCGCTCAGACGACCGACTCTCGCCCAGCCCCCTAACACCCACGACACCAACATCCCCGCCCGATGTACAACCCTACCCGCCGCCGACGCCGCCGCCAAGCTCCGACCCGGCGCCGCCAGGTCCCCCCGATCCGCCGGTTCCTGGGCTGCCGTACATTCCCAACTTCCCACCCTCATGGCCCGACGAGCCGCCTCCCAGCCCCTCCGTCCCTGAGCACATGACAGCCCCCTGGGCGCCGCCAGCGGAGCCGGATTCACCTCTCGCGCCCTTCCCGCCACCGCCGCCGCCGCCGCCACCTCCTGCCACGCCGGCACTCCCGCCGCCGCCGAAGCGTGTGCCGCCCTCTCCGCGCCCGCTGCCGCCGCCTGCGGTCCCGGACGCCGGCATCGCGCCAGGCACTCCCTTCCCGCCCTTCACACCCTTCCCGCCGTCTGCTCCGCCGCCCGGTGAGCCGCTTGCGGCTGAGGCGCCCTCGCCGCCGCCGCCACCTCCACCACCGCCGCCGCCTGGCTGGCCGCCGTCACCTCAGGACGCCTCTGTTGCATCTCCCCCGCCCCCGCCGCCGCCGCCGCCCCCGCCGGCTGCTCCTACCACCACGAGGGACAGGCCCAGAGCTCCGGACCTTCCCGGACCATCCCCGCCGCCGCCGGATGCCCCTGATAGCTCCGGCATATCTCCTCCGCCGCCGCCACCGCCGCCGCCGCCACCTAGACTGCCGCCCAGTCCACGTGAGTCGTCGACTAGCTCGCCGCCGCCGCCGCCCCCACCGCCGCCGCCGCCGGGCTCTCCCGACAGGCCGTCAACCTCGTGGTCGCCAAACGTGCCCTCACCACCTGCTGTTTCGGGCGCCCCATTGCCACCCCAGTCCACGTCTCCGCCTCCTCCCCCGCCGCCCCCGCCACCTCCTCCCAGGGTGCCACCCTCTCCCGCGCAGCAGGGTCTATCCTCGCCGCCACCTCCGCCACCCCCGCCCCCTCCTCCTGGCACACCGGATATGCCAACGACCTCGGGCTCGCCCAGCAAGCCTTCCCCGCCTGCTGCTTCCGACACGCCAGCGCCACCACAGTCCACCTCTCCGCCGCCACCACCGCCGCCGCCACCCCCGCCGCCTAGCGTGCCGCCCAGTCCACATCAGGCGTCTTCTGGGTCGCCGCCGCCGCCCCCGCCGCCGCCACCGCCTCCCAGCGCTCCTGACGTGCCAACTGGTTCCGGAGCGCCACATGCTCCCCCACCACCTGCCGTATCTCAGGCCCCATTGCCACCCCAGTCCACCTCTCCACCTCCTCCGCCCCCCCCGCCGCCACCTCCTCCCGCTGTCCCACCCACACCATCACAGCAGGGTCTAGCCTCGCCGCCGCCGCCTCCGCCGCCGCCCCCACCACCCGGCACACCAAGTATGCCCTCAACTTCGGGCTCACCCAGCAAGCCGTCGCCGCCCGCTGTGTCTGACACTCCCATGCCGCCGCAATCCACCTCACCGCCCCCGCCGCCCCCGCCACCACCCCCGCCGCCTAGCGTGCCTCCCTCGCCTGGGAGACACGATTCCGCCTCGCCCCCGCCTCCACCCCCGCCGCCGCCTCCACCCGGCACTCCGAACATGCCTTCTACCTCCGGCTCTCCAAGCAAGCCTTCCCCGCCGGCTGTAGTTGATGCCCCGTTGCCGCCACAGTCCACTTCCCCACCCCCACCGCCACCACCGCCACCACCTCCGCCAGGGCTGCCACCTTCGCCCACTACTCACAGCACTGTCTCGCCGCCGCCACCACCTCCACCGCCGCCGCCGCCCGCCAACCCTGATGCACCGTCAACCTCCGGCTCACCGCACACACCCTCACCGCCCGCTGTCTCCGGCGCCCCGTTGCCGCCACAGTCCACTTCCCCACCCCCGCCGCCACCGCCGCCACCACCCCCGCCAGGGCTGCCACCCTCGCCAACAACTCACGGTGCCACCTCACCGCCGCCGCCGCCGCCACCGCCGCCGCCGCCCGCCAACCCTGATGCACCGTCAACCTCCGGCTCACCACACACACCCTCACCGCCCGCTGTCTCCGGCGCCCCATTGCCGCCACATTCCATTTCCCCACCCCCGCCGCCTCCGCCGCCCCCGCCGCCGCCTAGCGTTCCGCCCTCGCCAACAACTCACGGTGCCACCTCACCGCCGCCGCCGCCGCCACCGCCGCCGCCGCCTGCCACCCCTGACGCACCGTCAACCTCCGGCTCACCACACACCCCCTCACCACCCGCTGTCTCCGGCGCCCCATTGCCGCCACATTCCATTTCCCCACCCCCGCCGCCTCCGCCGCCACCACCCCCGCCAGGGCTGCCACCTTCGCCAACTACTCACAGTGCCGCCTCGCCCCCGCCTCCACCCCCGCCGCCGCCTCCACCCGGCACTCCGAACATGCCTTCTACCTCCGGCTCTCCAAGTAAGCCTTCCCCGCCGGCTGTAGTTGATGCCCCGTTGCCGCCACAGTCCACTTCCCCACCCCCGCCACCACCGCCGCCGCCACCGCCTCCTAGTGTGCCGCCCTCGCCAACTACTCATGGCGCCGCCTCGCCGCCACCCCCACCTCCCCCGCCGCCGCCGCCTGCCACCCCTGACGCACCGTCAACCTCCGGCTCACCACACACACCCTCACCACCCGCTGTCTCCGGCGCCCCGTTGCCGCCACAGTCCACTTCCCCACCCCCGCCGCCTCCGCCGCCCCCGCCGCCGCCTAGCGTTCCGCCCTCGCCAACAACTCACGGTGCCACCTCACCGCCGCCGCCGCCGCCACCGCCGCCGCCGCCTGCCACCCCTGACGCACCGTCAACCTCCGGCTCACCACACACCCCCTCACCACCCGCTGTCTCCGGCGCCCCATTGCCGCCACATTCCATTTCCCCACCCCCGCCGCCTCCGCCGCCACCACCCCCGCCAGGGCTGCCACCTTCGCCAACTACTCACAGTGCCGCCTCGCCCCCGCCTCCACCCCCGCCGCCGCCTCCACCCGGCACTCCGAACATGCCTTCTACCTCCGGCTCTCCAAGTAAGCCTTCCCCGCCGGCTGTAGTTGATGCCCCGTTGCCGCCACAGTCCACTTCCCCACCCCCGCCACCACCGCCGCCGCCACCGCCTCCTAGTGTGCCGCCCTCGCCAACTACTCATGGCGCCGCCTCGCCGCCACCCCCACCTCCCCCGCCGCCGCCGCCTGCCACCCCTGACGCACCGTCAACCTCCGGCTCACCACACACACCCTCACCACCCGCTGTCTCCGGCGCCCCGTTGCCGCCACAGTCCACTTCCCCACCCCCGCCGCCACCGCCGCCACCACCTCCACCGCACATCCCTCCTCCTGTGACGAGGACTCCTCACGCGTCGCCACCCCCGCCGCCGCCACCGCCGCCCCCACCTGCCTTTCCCAATACACCGAGCTTGGCAGGTGCTCCCAAGAGCCCGGACACTCCTTCTCCAGCCGCCCCACCTCCCCAAGCCCCATCCCTGTCCCCGCCGCCTCCGCCACCCCCACCTCCGCCACCACCGAGAGTACCACCACCATCAACTCGTACACCAGCCTCTGCACCACCGCCTCCGCCGCCGCCTCCCCCGCCGCCAGCCACTCCTACCACTGACATCTCTTCCCCAGTTGCCCCCAGCTCCCCGACACCAGCCTCGCCCCCACCTAACGCCCCGGATGCTCTTCCGCCGCCCCCGCCGCCGCCACCTCCGCCGCCACCCAACACGCCCCCTGCCAAGGTCGTACACACGGTCCCATCCCCGCCACCCCCGCCGCCACCTCCGCCACCCCCTGGCACCCCCGGCACGCCCCCCGTGTCTACCTCCCCCAGCGCCCCCTCACCCCCACTCCTCTCAGATGCTCCTCCGCAACCGACCGCCGTGCTGCCGCCGCCTCCACCGCCTCCCCCACCGCCGCCGCCACACACACCAAGCTCCAGCACAACTCAGCCGCCACATGCGCCTCCGCCGCCTCCGCCGCCACCCCCTCCGCCAGCTACACCCAACATGCCCGGGTCATCTTCTGCGCCCAGGAGTCCGGACGCTCCTGCCCCCAAGGCGCCGCCACCCGACGCACCGGTCAGCCGCCCGCCACCTCCCCCACCGCCGCCGCCGCCGCCACCACACATACCCCCTCCCAGGACCGAACCCCACACCTCCGCCCCACCTCCCCCTCCTCCTCCGCCGCCGCCACCAGGAACCCCGCCCACCGCTGTTCCCACCTCCCCAACAACCCCAAGCTCCCCAGCACCCGCCTCGCCGCCGCCGGGTGCTCCTGCTGCACCGCCGCCGCCTCCCCCACCGCCGCCGCCGCCACCCCCAAGTATTCCACCGCCCAAGTCCAGCCCTGCGTCAGCCCCTCCACCTCCGCCGCCGCCGCCACCACCTCCGCCAGCTGTGCCAGGCATGTCAGACATCCCCAGTGCGCCCAGTGGCCTGCCCGCGCCCCTGCAACCCCCGCCGGGCGCACCCTCCCAGCCTCCGCCGCCGCCGCCTCCACCGCCACCGCCGCCTCCTGGGATGCCGCCACCAGGGACTAGGAGCCCGACCACGCAGCCTCCGCCTCCGCCGCCCCCGCCGCCGCCTCCTAGCTCTCCCGACCATGCCGGCTCTCCAGTGGCACCTGACCTGCCTTCCCCAGCATCACCTCCGCCCGACAAGCCTGGAGCACCTCCGCCGCCGCCGCCACCTCCGCCACCTCCGCCGCCAAACGTGCCGCCGACCAAGGTGGTTCATTCGCTTCCATCCCCTCCACCGCCGCCGCCACCACCTCCGCCACCCGGCACGCCTGGCACGCCGAGTGAGGTATCGCCAACCGCTCCCATGCCTCCACTCCTGAGGCAGCCGCCAACACAGCCGGGCAGCCTGTCTCCTCCCCCACCTCCGCCGCCACCCCCGCCGCCGCCTCATGCACCGCCAACTGGCACGGCACCTGCACACCAGGCACCCCCTCCTCCCCCACCGCCGCCGCCGCCTCCAGCAAACCCCAGCCTGCCGGGGGTGTCAACCTCACCCGTGAGCCCTGATGCGCCTGCACCTAGTCCGCCGCCCCCCGATGCACCGTCCAGGCCCCCACCGCCCCCGCCTCCCCCGCCGCCCCCACCACCTAACGTGCCACCACCAAAGAGCAGCACTGCTACCTCATCTCCGCCGCCGCCGCCGCCACCACCCCCACCGCCAGCCTCTCCGACCACTGACATTTCTTCCCCAGTTGCCCCCAGCTCCCCGGCCCCAGCCTCTCCTCCGCCAGACGCGCCCAACGCGCCTCCGCCTCCTCCCCCACCGCCCCCGCCACCCCCGCCAGGTGCACCCCCACCGCACCCCTCAGGAACGTCGGCATCCCCACCGCCGCCGCCACCGCCCCCGCCGCCCCCGAGCTCCCCTGACTCAGCGGCCATACCGGCATCACCCGATCAGCCGTCGCCTTTAGCGCCGCCACCTGATAAGCCTGGCGCGCCTCCGCCGCCCCCGCCGCCACCCCCGCCGCCGCCGCCAGATCTGCCGCCGCCAACGCCAAAGCAGTCTTCGACAGCACCCCCACCGCCTCCGCCTCCCCCGCCGCCGCCTGCAACCCCTGAGCTGCCTGCTGTCTCGGATTCACCCGACGCTCCGCCGCCGCCAGCTGTCAGCGAGGCGCCTGCACCCGCACAAGCCATCTCACCGCCTCCGCCACCTCCTCCGCCACCACCACCACCGCTGACGCCACCGCAACCGAAGCATGACACCTCAACAGCACCGCCGCCGCCCCCACCGCCGCCGCCGCCGCCTGCTACCCCTGACGCGCCATCAACCTCGGGTTCACCCAGCACGCCTTCGCCGCCCGCGGTCTCCGACGCCCCATTGCCTCCCCAGTCCACGTCTCCGCCTCCTCCCCCGCCGCCCCCGCCACCTCCTCCCGGGGTGCCACCCTCTCCCGCGCATCAAGGCCTAGCCTCGCCGCCACCTCCGCCACCCCCGCCGCCGCCGCCGGGCACACCGGATATGCCAACAACCTCGGGCTCACCCAGCAAGCCGTCGCCGCCCGCTGCTTCTGACGCTCCTATGCCGCCGCAATCCACCTCGCCGCCCCCGCCACCTCCGCCGCCACCCCCGCCGCCTAGCGTGCCTCCCTCGCCTGGGAGACACGATTCCGCCTCGCCCCCGCCTCCACCCCCGCCGCCTCCTCCACCCGGCACTCCGAACATGCCTTCTACCTCCGGCTCTCCAAGCAAGCCTTCCCCGCCGGCTGTAGTTGATGCCCCGTTGCCGCCACAGTCCACTTCCCCACCCCCACCGCCACCGCCGCCCCCACCTCCGCCAGGGCTGCCGCCGCCGCATGGGAGCACTCCTTCAACCCCGCCGCCGCCGCCCCCGCCGCCGCCGCCGCCTGGCTCCCCTGACGTGCCGTCAGCTGCGGCTGCACCGACCGCACCTCTGCCGCCCCTGTCCTCTGGCGTGCCGCTGCCGCCTCAAGCCACCTCGCCGCCCCCGCCGCCGCCCCCGCCGCCTCCACCGCCCCACGTCCCTCCCCCCGGGCCACATCAGAGTCAAGCGCCCCCGCCGCCACCACCTCCGCCACCGCCTCCTCCCGCTACACCCGATACGCCGGGACTGTCTCCCAGGGCTCCAGCTGTCCCTGCACCCCACGCGCCGCCCCCCGATGCGCCCTCCAGGCCCCCACCGCCTCCGCCACCACCGCCGCCGCCGCCGCCAGGCACCCCGCCTCCCTCCCCTGGGGACCCCATGTCCCCGCCCCCTCCACCGCCGCCTCCCCCACCGCCTGCCTCTCCCACAACTGACATCTCTTCCCCAGTTGCCCCCAGCTCCCCGGCGCCAGCCTCGCCCCCACCTGATGCTCCGGCTGCCCTTCCACCTCCACCCCCACCGCCCCCGCCACCCCCGCCAGGTGTACCCCCACCGCAGCCCACACACGCCACTGTGTCGCCTCCGCCTCCTCCTCCTCCACCGCCGCCCCCGAGCTCTCCGGACATGGCAGACACCCCAACCGCACCCGACCTCCCGCCTCCCTCATCACCCCCACCGGACAAGCCAACCGCACCTCCTCCACCGCCACCGCCGCCTCCACCGCCGCCGCCTTCTTTCCCGCCATCACCGAAAGATCGCATTCCTTCATCGCCCCCGCCTCCACCCCCGCCACCGCCTCCACCCGGCACTCCGGATATGCCATCAACCTCCGGCTCACCCAGCACGCCCTCGCCGCCCGCTGTGTCGGATGCCCCGATGCCACCGCAGGCAACCTCTCCACCCCCGCCGCCGCCACCTCCACCACCACCTCCGCATGTTCCCGACACGTCAAGCCCACCCAAGCCACCTCATGCTCCTCCACCTCCGCCGCCGCCACCGCCTCCTCCCGCTACACCTGACATGCCAGGACTGTCTCCCAGAACTCCCGCTGTCCCTGCACCCCACGCACCGCCCCCCGATGCGCCCTCCAGGCCCCCGCCACCGCCCCCACCGCCCCCGCCACCCCCACCTGGCACCCCGCCTCCCTCCCCTGGGGACCCCATGTCCCCGCCCCCTCCGCCGCCGCCTCCCCCGCCCCCAGGCTCTCCAACGACTGACATCTCCTCCCCGGTTGCCCCTAGCTCCCCGGCTCCAGCCTCGCCCCCACCTGACACCCCGGCTGCACCTCCCCCACCGCCTCCGCCACCGCCACCGCCTCCCCCAGGTGTACCCCCGCCGCACCCATCGTCAGCCACGGTGTCACCACCGCCGCCGCCCCCGCCGCCGCCGCCCCCAGGCTCTCCTGACCTAGCAGATTCCCCCACAACTCCTGACCTGCCTCCCCCCTCGTCACCTCCGCCCGACAAGCCTGGAGCGCCTCCTCCGCCGCCGCCACCTCCGCCACCTCCACCACCCAACTTGCCTCCATCCAAGGTCGTTCACACGCTTCCCTCCCCTCCACCG